CATGGGAAAGCCACCTATTGCCACTGCAGACAGAGCACAGGTAATGGGGGAATTTGGGGCAAGAATATTCTGGAGTATTCTGACCAGTGAAGACATGCCTAGAGTCAGAGAATTGGAATGAAGAATGATCACACATAGAGAAAATGAAGCCTTATCTTCAAGCCTGGCCCTATTTTCAAGTTCAAGACCATATCATGATTGCAATGCTATACATACTTATCTGCAAGGAATTCAATGCAATTTATTTCTTAATAAACATGTATAGTTTGAGTTGCATGCTATGTCACAGACTTATGCCTTGACAGTACCTGCCCTCAATAGATTAAAATATCCAAAGAAGTCCTTACTTCTCTTCCAGTTGAATAATTCTCTTCTTGTAATACATAAGAGTGGAAGGTTCACAAGCTAATATTTTCAATTTCCCATGAAGGTGAAAAGCATTCCATTGACCCTTCTTTAGTACTTCTATAAAGGCATCATATTCCTGCTTGATTGTTGTCAGGATGCTCTTGTACGCACTGACATGCTCAATTATCTGTGTCAATTAATGCAGAAATTAGTTATTTGCCTTTACTGCTTCATGCAAGAACAAAGGGGGGAAAAAGCTCAATTATCTTAAAGGAGACCTGAGTTTTTCAAAGATACAGGGAACAGAAGTATATAAGAAGAGTTTGGATCAGAACAAAACTCCGCGGAGTCTAGAAATGGAGGAAATTGTTCTTTCTTTTTTACTGCCACTTTCCCACTATTTAGGGAAGTTTCACAATACACAATAATAGCACTATAATTCCACGTTAACTATCACAGTTGAATCCTAGGCAATCCAGGGATATATTGTTTGGTGAGGCGCATTGAGAGCCAACATGGTGTAAGGGTTTGAGTGTTGCACTGGGAAGTTGAGAAACCAGGGTTGACCATGGAAACCTCAGGCAACTCACATTCTCTCAGCCCTAGAGGAAGGCAATGGCAAATCCCCTCCCCCTCTGAACAAATCCTGCCAAGAAAACCCTGTTATATGTTCATTATATGTTAGGGTCACCATAAGTCAGAAACAAAACAGAATTCTTAGCAAGAAAACTCTAGTGTCTCTTGTTGTTGTATGGAGGCATACAACAACAACAAGAAGAGACACTACAGCACTCTTGCTGAAATTCTAAATACACTTCCTTAAACTGCAAATCCCAGGATTTCATAGGAAGTTTCCACTGCAGTTAAAGTAGAATCGTAGCACTATAACTGTGTCTGTAAAAGGGCCCAAAGTGAAGCCACATTCCCATAACTATTTAAAATAACATTTAAAGTTAGAGTTATCATGCAAAATTGTAAAGGTACCCTTCACTAAGCTACAATTGTAATGCAACTTAATTATGCCTTAGTTAACGGGGGGATTAATTTACTGTAACTAATTACTTCCAAGTTCTTGCTGGATATACTCTAAAACCAGTTTACTAAGGTGTCCCATTATTTGACAACAATGGGACAAACTTTTAAATAAATATTGATAGGATGGTGCTAGTAGCCATTCCTTCATGCTTAATAAGAACACTGAAATTGCCTTTCTGGATCATACCAAAGTCCATCCAGCACAGCCAGAGGGTTTGGACAATTGTATCTCAGTCTCATATGCCTTTGGCTATGCATCGGGGCAGCCCATTTCACCCTTAGCATAAATGGGTCTCTATTATATATATAAAGCAATTAACAAACAGGAAATTATTTCTTTGCCTGCATATCAAGGCAGGACATTGCTGTTTCAGGTTAGCTTTGTTATCAAGCTGTGAACTAGTTCCTTGGTTCAAACAAAATGGGAAATTCATGGTTAATGGGAGAAGTTCGTGTTTATTTCCTGAAAAAGAGAGGCTCCACATGTTGGCTTCCATAAATTGTACGTATGATTACAGTGGGCCCTTGGTATCTGTGGGGTTTGGTTCCACAACTCCACGTGGGTACCAAAATCCAGAGATATTCAAGTCCTATTAAATATAATGGCACAGAAAGATTGTGTCCCTTGTATAAAATGGAAAAATCAAGCTGTGCTTTTTGGAATTTATATAGTCATCCCTCAATATTTGCGGGGGATCCGTTCCTTACCCCCTCGCAGATACCAAAATTCGCAAATACTCAAGTTCCATTGTGCCCATTAGCTGCGATGGAGGGGGCGGGGTGTGCGCATCCCGGGTCCTGAATGGCACTGGGAAAGTGAGTCCCTATGGTGGCTGGCGTGGATTATAGACCCCAACAGCCCGTGCCCTGCCTCATTCCCGCCCAGTGCCTCTGGGGAAACTGAGTCACTGGATTCCGGAGGGCCAAGGGGGGGGTTGGTTGGTGGGGCCCTCCTCCCTGGCTGAGGCAAAAACTGAAGGAAGGCCCCCTCCTGGCCCCCAAGGCAAGCTAAGCCTGAGGGGAAGAAAGAGGTAAAGAAGGAGGGAGAGAGGAAGGGAGGACTTGACCCATTGGGAACAGTGTGAGCTTGCCATCCACAAATGAGCAAAATCGCAAATGGCAAGTCCACAGATATAGAGGGATGACTGTATTTTAAAAATATTTTCCAACCGTGCATGCTTGAATCCTTGGATAAAAAAATCTGTGGATATGGAGGTTTGACTGTACTTCCCACTTATCTGAATGAAAGTCAGGTTAGTAGGCCCAAACCACAACAATCACACCTACAGAAGAGATTTTAGCTGTGGTTGCTTACCATTTCAAATACATTTTTGTATATTATATAATACTCCTCAGCTGGTCCTTGATCGGTACAGCCCACCTTCTCAATTTCTGAAGTTATGTAACTCTGGATGCTTTCCAGAAATTTCTTCTCAGTCTCAGGGATGATGGGAGGTAGCACTGAATGTTTGTTTACTCTGATACTAGATGCTTTCATGGTGGAAAAGCAAGCTAAACTTCCATTGCAGACAGAAGCTAAGGCATCTGTTGTTTCTTCTGACTGAAAGGCATATTTCACTCAAAACCTGAAAGAAAAATGTACACTATTAAGATGCACCCAAGAGAAGCTGATAACATTTGCATTTGACTATATATAAGCAGAACTTAAAATACACATTAAGAGCAAAACATTCTGACTTCCACCTTCAGTATACTATATACAAACTATACGGTTGAAATACTAGGTGACAGTTTAGAACACTATGTTATCATCATTTTTAGCAGATGTTGGTATTATCCTCTTCAGTTGAGGCCAATGTATGAAGCATGTATGCAGGCCTGTGGTTGCTTTGCCCAAATACTGTGTGTATACATGTCTCATACAATTATTGTTTATATACATGTATACGTAGATGTGTGCGCTTGTGCACATGTGTATATCTATACCTCTATATGCACATATAAGCATGTATATGCATGTAAGCTTGATGCATATAAGCCATGTTGTTGTTGTTAGCTGCTCTTGTGCCGACTTTGATTCATGGTGACCCTGTGGATGAGACCTCTCTAAGACACCCTGTCCACTACTCCTCTGCTTAAGACTTGTAGATTCAGGCCCATGGCCTCCATGATTGAGTCTATCCATCTGGCATGTGATCTTCCTCTCTTTCTGCTGCCTTCTACTTTTCCTAGCATCATTACCTTTTCTAATGAGTTGTGCCTACTCGTGATGTGGCCAAAGTTCGACAATCTCAATTTAGTCATCCTGGCTTCCAGGAAGAGTTCAGGCTTGATCTGTTCAAGGACCCATTTGTTTGTCTTTTTGACCATCCACGGTATCCTCAGCACTCTTCTTCAGGACCACAGCTCAAAAGAGATGATTTTATTCACTTTCTTCAGTGTCCAGCTCTCACATCCATACATGGTGATGGGGAATACAATGGTTTGGATGATCCTCACTTTAGTAGTGTTACATCTTTGCATTTTAGGATCTTGCCTAGTTCTTTCATCGCTGCCCTTCCCATTCTCAATCTTCTTGATTTTTTCGCTGCAATCTCCACTCTGATCAATGTTTGGTCTGAGGTATGGGAACTCTTTTGACAGTTTCTATTTTGTTGTTATCTAGAATGAATTCACGTAGTTCTTCATGGTCATTATTTTTGTTTTTTTAATATTCAGCATTAAGCCTACCTTAGCACTTTCTTCTTTAGCTTTCTTATCAATTGTTCTATCTAGGTCTTTTCTGTTTTCTGCTAGTCAACATATATATTAGCCATTCTTGTTAATGTTTCCTTCAAGTCTTTTCTGACTTATGGTGACTCTAAGGCCACCATGGGGTTTTCTTGGCAAGATTTGTGTAGAAGTTTCCATTGCATTCCCTGGAGGCTGAGAGCATGTGACTTGCCCAAGGTAGCTTTCATGTCGCTCACACATGTGCACACGCACACGTGTGCGCGCGCACACACACACACACATATATACACAGGGTGTCCCTCCAAAATGTATACACCCTGAAAAGCTTCTTCTTTAGGGGGTACCTTAAAAATAAAGAGTTTCTGCCACAAAATCAAATATACTTAAAGAATTTAAGATTACAATAGTAGAGAAGTGTGACCAAATTACAAGAGAAAGTTTAAGTGAGGTTTTCAACTCTGTGATTGGATGATGCCAGCTGTGCATTGCTGCACAGGGAGGGCAATTTTAACACCTTACATAAAATTGTAATTTAAGATGGAATTTGCAACTCTGGTTAAATCATTATTACAGTGGAACCTCTACTTACGAAATTAATCCGTTCCGACAGCC